GAAGTCTGAAGGAAGGGGAAGATTTTTTCCGGTTGTGTACTTTCAAATTCTAGCGCACTCGAGCTGGTTTCTCCATTCTTACCTACCCTACCTTTAAGTCACATGACCTCTTACGTTCCTGCCATAACTGATACAGCCACTAGATGTCGTCGAAACACGAGACATTTCCAGAAGTGTAGGAAACATTCAAAGCTCACTACAGGTAAAGTGGTGCAAGCATCACATGCTCCATGTTGATATGACTAATGGCATTATTGCCCGGACAGGTCTTGAAGAAAATATGCAAAAAAAGAGTTTGTTCACGTTAGCATTTTTCATATTTTCCTCCGGCTGTTTTGTGTCGTGTCCAGCCTACTTAGGGAAAAGCATAAAGAACTTTAGTTTGTAAAGTACAGTATGTGTGTGTGTGTGTGTGTGTGTGTGTGTGTGTGTGTGTGTGTGTGTGTGTGTGTGTGTCATCTACAGTATACTGTTCTGTTTTCAGTCTCATGAGGCTGATTTAATAAAGGCTAAAACAACAACCTCTCTACTGTCCAACAAACAGCATGAACCCTGTGAACCTGCAGAGAGCTGAGGGTGCTGCCAGTACACTGACAACAACAAGGACAGAGAGTGTGTGTGTGTGTGTGTGTGTGTGTGTGTGTGTGTGTGTGTGTGTGTGTGTGTGTGTGTGTGTGTGTGTGTGTGTGTGTGTGTGTGTGTGTGTGTGTGTGTGTGTGTGTGTGTAAGAAGGGAAGGTACTAATTTAGTTATGGCATGGTGATTACTGTATTTGCACAGAAAGCAATCTTCAGATAGGATCATGTGACCTCTAACTGTTCAAACTTGAATGATCTAGAGCTGCTGTTAATGAAGACATAACGTCCTGGTACAGAGTCGTTATTAAATATAATGTTTAGAGAGAGAGTTTAACACATGATGGTTACTTTTGTATTTGCACTGTTTGATAGTAACACTCTTTAACTCGAGCGTGACTCATCATGAGTGTCTGACTCACCACAGAGAGAGAGAGTTCCTTAGAAACAACCACACACACACACACACACACACACACACACATACACACACACACACACACACACTAACCTTAAGTACCCTTTCTTAAGGATATTTCCAATGCATCACAATGTGAAATGTGAATGTTGCATCAGACATTACATTACATTTCATTTAGCTGACGCTTTTATCCAAAGCAACTTACAATGACCAATTACAGGGACATCCTCCCTGGAGTAACTAAGGACTAAGTGCCTTACTCAAGGGCACACTAGTGGTGGTGTTCCTGCTGGGATTTGAACTCACAACCTTCCAATCTTCAGCCCACCTCACTATCCATTAGCCCACCAGTAATCCCAATCAGAAAATCAGATTTACTTACATTTAATACAGTTTCTGTCTTTTTTGGTTGTTTTCTTTTCCTTGACACTTGGCCATCTTTCTATAAGCTTTTAAATAATTAATTTGACTTTAAATGCAGTATAAGGTTAATTATGCCCACTTTTTATACCCCAAATCAGCCACCAGAGGACAGAAAGAAGACAGTAAACATGCAGGAATCATTGAGGAGAAACTCTGCAGTGTTTCCTCTGATCCAGAGCGACTCTCCCTCTGCTTCTGAATCTCTGCAGCTGACCTACTTCCTCTGCAGACATCAGAGTGACACCCACAGGTGCTGACTGTATATAAACAGTCTGTGGAGAGAGAGGAACAACCTGACATTTAAAACACTCTGTGAAAATGCACAGAAGGTCTGACTGTACTGCAGACTCTACATGTTAGTGCTTCTGTTCAGAGGTGAGCGTGGGAAGTAGTGGAGTACAAATACTTCGTTACTGTACTTAAGTACATTTTTCTGGTATCAGTACTTTACTCCACTACTTATTTTTATTTTTACGACTTTTTACTTTCTACTTCTTACATGTTGAACACAAATACCTGTACTTTCTACTTCTTACATTTTGAACCCAAATACCTGTACTTTCTACTTCTTACATGTTGAACCCAAATACCTGTACTTTCTACTTCTTACATTTTGAACACAAATACCTGTACTTTCTACTTCTTACATGTTGAACCCAAATACCTGTACTTTCTACTTCTTACATGTTGAACCCAAATACCTGTACTTTCTACTTCTTACATGTTGAACACAAACACCTGTACTTTCTACTTCTCACATTTCCCAAACAGGCTGGTTCCTTTAGTTTGAATGTGTGTTTGGTGGCGTGATCATTATTATTTAGAGTCATTGCGTGCCTATTGATTTGAACACGATCCGTGTATCCATCATTTCCTGGTCTTCTCTAAAGAAGAGGGACCAATGAAAACGTTGTCATGTTGCCGTTGTTCAGCATGGAAACATTCATTAGCTAACAATGACATTATTGTTCTATTAATATAAAGGGAGGTCAGGTACTCTTTAAAACAGCTGCTAGTTATGGGTACTTTTTACTGAAGTACATTTCAAAGCCCTCTTTACTTTGACTTGAGTAAAGAAGTTTAGTCTGTACTTCTACTTTTACCAGAGTATTTTTAAACACGAGTATCTGTACTTCTACTTGAGTAAAGGATGTGTGTACTTCTACTTGAGTAAAGGATGTCTGTACTTCTACTTGAGTAAAGGATGTGTGTACTTCTACTTGAGTAAAGGATGTGTGTACTTCTACTTGAGTAAAGGATGTGTGTACTTCTACTTGAGTAAAGGATGTGTGTACTTCTACTTGAGTAAAGGATGTGTGTACTTCTACTTGAATAAAGGATGTGTGTACTTCTACTTGAGTAAAGGATGTGTGTACTTTAGCCATCTCTGGTAACAGGCCAATAGATTTGACTGTGTGGGCATTGAAATGAAAGGTTTTGTACTTTGTGATACACTGGTGACTTTATTGCGTTATAAACCGACTGTCCACATATGAGAACATCATTTTTATCAAAAACGACTTCCTGTTCAAAGACAATACTTACGTTGTACACTTATTAGGTCCTACTAACCCTAAATAGATAGGAGAAATAAAAAATGCATAGTAAAAAAAGCTTGGGTCTCAGGAGGTAAAGGCTAAAAATACTTTGATGTCAATATTTAGCGATGATTTTGTGAGGTTGTCCAACGTTGCTTTCAGAAAACATTGAGGATTTTGATAAATAATCATCAGTCATTTTGATTTATATGCAAAGCAGAGCTAGAAGAGTCTGATTAATAAATACAAAATACATAGTTTGACTGTAATGCAGCCTCAAAAAGCAGGATAAGACTATTGTGATATCAACAATCTGAGATGATAACTAGTCTAATATTACGATATCCATAAAATATCAATAAATTGCTTTGACATCGTACAAAAATACTTTCTTATATATATTTGTTGGCCTTTTATTCTCACTCATATTCAAGATCTCTAAAAACTGAGCTTTTGTAAACCTTACGCCCTGAAGGTGAAGATTGTTCTTATTTCATTTAAAATAGATCTTAATCCCATGTATTCTGATACTTACTGCTGCAGGGAAAACCCTCCAACACACAGAGACCCCCGACATATTAATAGAGAGGAAAATGAGAGCAGTGACACAGGTCAGAGTCAGAAATAGACTTTAGAGACTCGGGAGAAACAGAGAGGGAGAGAGGGAGAGAAGAGACATTTAATAAACTCTCAGTGAAGTCTGCAGGATCCAGGAAGCTCTCATCTCTTAAACTCTACTTTCGTTTTTGCATTTATTCCATTTCTTCACTATGCTATCATATCCTTTTTAAACACAACTTTTCCCCGGGATACAATCTGATTCTGATAAACATTTAAGTCTAAATTATTCTGACATTTTTTACAGTTTTCTAGCTGTTTCTTTCTTTTATGTTAGATTTTCCTGAATTGTTGCCCTTAATACTTTGACTACATATTTCTAATTAAACTTACTTTAGGAACATTTTCACTGCAGGATGAATTTAGACAGATATTTGTATTTAATTTACTATTTGTAGGATCTTTATGTGGGAAGAAATGTAGTCGTTTAGTTTACTTCTTTACTTAGTTCAACCAGGAAGACCGTCTTTACTAATCCATTTACTATTTCCATGTTACTACTCTCTCTCCTCTCAATAAGTGATCGGGGGCGTCACTCCCCAGCTTAACCAATCACTTCGCTCTATTCTCACAAGCCTATCACAGCGCTCCGCTAACCCTTTTAAATCTGCTCTTCCCTCTGACAGCTGTCATTTCAGGTGACTCGACGCAACCCTCCTCCACCCCTTCTCACCTCCTGTCCCTCTGAATCCAGGGTCAAGCTAAGCCCCTCCCCTTCAGACCGACCCCAACTATCCATTCACCACCACCAGGGTCAAGCTAAGCCACTCCCCTTCAGACTGACCCCAACTATCCATTCACCACCACCAGGGTCAAGCTAAGCCCCTCCCCTTCAGACCGTCCCCAACTATCCATTCACCACCACCAGGGTCAAGCTAAGCCACTCTCCTTCAGACCGAACCCAACTATCCATTCACCACCACCGGGGTCGAGGTAAGCCCCTCACCTTCAGACTGACCCCAACTATCCATTCACCACCACCAGGGTCAAGCTAAGCCCCTCCCCTTCAGACCGAACCCAACTATCCATTCACCACCACCGGGGTCGAGGTAAGCCCCTCACCTTCAGACTGACCCCAACTATCCATTCACCACCACCAGGGTCAAGCTAAGCCCCTCCCCTTCAGACTGACCCCAACCATCGATTCACCACCACCAGTGTCTAGACCCCGGGGGGTTTCATCCGATCGGTTCTCCCCTCCCAAATGATACTCCTGCACAACGGGGCCTAATCGCCAAAACTCCATTACATTCATTCGTGTATTCCTGGCAATAAATATGTATTCTTATCAAAACCGTCTCTCCTGATTGAACTGAGGTTGTTTTAAATGTGCTATATAAATAAATAAAGATTGAGATTGAGTTTCTGAGTTCTCTGAGAGTTGAGTTTGAATCCTGTAAATGAAAGTGTTGAGTTTGACGTTACCTTGTCCAGAGCTTCTCTCTCCGTCAGGTCCTGAACCGCCAGCAGCTTCACACTGAAACACAACGAGAGCAGGAGATTAAACTCATATCTTTACTGTATTATTTTATTTATAACAACGACTTCCCCCTGCAAACACAAACACAGGAGGTTCAGATTAAATGATTAATGTATCTGTATTTATACCAACATTTAAACAGCTACAGAGTTATTAGTAATTTTCTGTTTCTGATAACATTTAAGTAATTCTTCTAAATTGTTCTGAACATTATTTTAGTTTTCTAGATGTTTCTTGAATGTACGTTATATTTTTCTGAATTTTTGCACTTCATACTTTACCTACATATCGCTAATTAAACTTACTTTAGGAACATTTTCAATGCAGGACTTTTGCTAGTTATTTTACTAAGAAAACGATCTGGATTAATCGCTTAAAAAGCTCTCTGAGATGTCAGAGGTCAATCTATTTAAAGACTTTAAAGGTTACCTATTCTGCAAAATTCACTTCTTCATGTCTCTTCTACATCAACATGTGTCCCCTCTTCTTCATGTCTCTTCTACATCAACATGTGTCCCCTCTTCTTCATGTCTCTTCTACATCAACATGTGTCCCCTCTTCTTCATGTCTCTTCTACATCAACATGTGTCCCCTCTTCTTCATGTCTCTTCTACATCAACATGTGTCCCCTCTTCTTCATGTCTCTTCTACATCAACATGTGTCCCCTCTTCTTCATGTCTCTTCTACATCAACATGTGTCCCCTCTTCTTCATGTCTCTTCTTCATCAACATGTGTCTCCTCTTCTTCATGTCTCTGCTACATCAACATGTGTCCCCTCTTCTTCATGTCTCTTCTACATCAACATGTGTCCCCTCTTCTTCATGTCTCTTCTACATCAACATGTGTCCCCTCTTCTTCATGTCTCTTCTTCATCAACATGTGTCCCCTCTTCTTCATGTCTCTTCTACATCAACATGTGTCCCCTCTTCTTCATGTCTCTTCTACATCAACATGTGTCCCCTCTTCTTCATGTCTCTTCTACATCAACATGTGTCCCCTCTTCTTCATGTCTCTTCTTCATCAACATGTGTCCCCTCTTCTTCATGTCTCTTCTACATCAACATGTGTCCCCTCTTCTCCATGTCTCTTCTTCATCAACATGTGTCCCCTCTTCTTCATGTCTCTTCTACCTCAACATGTGTCCCCTCTTCTCCATGTCTCTTCTTCATCAACATGTGTCCCCTCTTCTTCATGTCTCTTCTTCATCAACATGTGTCCCCTCTTCTTCATGTCTCTTCTTCATCAACATGTGTCCCCTCTTCTTCATGTCTCTCTCTACATCAACATGTGTCCCCTCTTCTTCATGTCTCTTCTTCATCAACATGTGTCCCCCTCTTCTCCATGTCTCTTCTTCATCAACATGTGTCCCCTCTTCTTCATGTCTCTTCTACATCAACATGTGTCCCCTCTTCTTCATGTCTCTTCTTCATCAACATGTGTCCCCTCTTCTTCATGTCTCTTCTTCATCAACATGTGTCCCCTCTTCTTCATGTCTCTTCTATATCAACATGTGTCCCCTCTTCTCCATGTCTCTTCTTCATCAACATGTGTCCCCTCTTCTTCATGTCTCTTCTACATCAACATGTGTCCCCTCTTCTTCATGTCTCTTCTTCATCAACATGTGTCCCCTCTTCTTCATGTCTCTTCTACATCAACATGTGTCCCCTCTTCTTCATGTCTCTTCTACATCAACATGTGTCCCCTCTTCTCCATGTCTCTTCTACATCAACATGTGTCCCCTCTTCTTCATGTCTCTTCTATATCAACATGTGTCCCCTCTTCTTCATGTCTCTTCTACATCAACATGTGTCCCCTCTTCTTCATGTCTCTTCTACATCAACATGTGTCCCCTCTTCTTCATGTCTCTTTCTACATCAACATGTGTCCCCTCTTCTTCATGTCTCTTCTACATCAACATGTGTCCCCCTCTTCTTCATGTCTCTTCTACATCAACATGTGTCCCCTCTTCTTCATGTCTCTTCTACATCAACATGTGTCCCCTCTTCTTCATGTCTCTTCTTACATCACCAATGTGTCCCCTCTTCTTCCATGTCTCTTCTACATCAACATGTGTCCCCTCTTCTTCATGTCTCTTCTACATCAACATGTGTCCCCTCTTCTTCATGTCTCTTCTACATCAACATGTGTCCCCTCTTCTTCATGTCTCTTCTACATCAACATGTGTCCCCTCTTCTTCATGTCTCTTCTACATCAACATGTGTCCCCTCTTCTTCATGTCTTTTCTACATCACCATGTGTCCCCTCTTCTTCATGTCTCTTCTACATCAACATGTGTCCCCTCTTCTTCATGTCTCTTCTTCATCAACATGTGTCCCCTCTTCTTCATGTCTCTTCTTCATCAACATGTGTCCCCTCTGTGTAAAGAGACTCTGAAAGTTTCAGGATCAAAGATTCTCTCTCTTTTTGATCCATTTCTATAAAAACCTGTCTGAAAATGAGCTGATCAGATTTTGGCCACTTTATGATGTCATCACGATGTTTTTGTCTTGTGTAACCATTAGCCAATCAGCAACCAAGGTAAATCCCCCCCCACCTTACCACCTGAATCTCCTCCTAGAGCACCATTGAGTTCTTTGTAACCAAATCTCTCTCAGAGGGGCGTGGGGAGGGGCTCCTTATCTAAAGTAACAGACAGAGAATCAGCACTTTGGAAACAGGGCTGAAACAGAGGGGATTATGGGTAATGCTGCAATGATCTGTTTGGTGTTTCAGCCAATCAGAAACATGTTCTGTATATATCTGAGACCTGTGATATATTGTTGGAAAACAGTATAATAGGGGACCTTTAATATCTGTGAATCCAGCTGAATAGCCCCCCCCTCTCTTATTGCATCCCTCAGCAGCTCCTCTCAGGATTCAATAGCCTTTATTGTGCTGACTGTTGTTCTGGAGAATCATTTGAAAAGCAAACAGATAAAGTTTACGAGGCAGTAAAGAGAGGCGGTGAGCTGGCAGACTGCGGTCCAAACTCTACGTCACTTTACACAAACATTAAATGATCTTTAGTGAATGTTGTGTTTACCGAAGAGGAACAGCTGTGTCAACAATAACTGATTCTCACTGTGAGCACGAAGCCTTTTTAAACACCGTCACTGTGTATAGTACCAGCTGTGTAAAGCTAACTCGAGACATCATGAGGATATACAATTATGATGACTTTACATTATTCATAAATCACCGTTATGCTAATTCTAATGATGCTGAATATCCAGAATTACATAAAAAGCATAACAATTCAGTATTTAGTAATAAAACTAAAGATAAATAAAGAAAATTGATTAAAATATAACAAAAAAATATATATAAATAATAATAACAATAATAATAATAATAATAATACATATTTTTCCAGTCAGAAACTAAAATCTGTATTTATTTGTATTTGCCTCCAATATGCACTTTAGTACAATACTTGTCTTATTTCAGAGCAAAAGAGGCTTTATTTTAATTCCTGCTGCACAATATGCTCAGTGTCCTGCAGCACAGAGAGCTGATGCTTTGACCTCTGACCTCTCAGAAATCTCATTACACAACAGAGTCTCTGGGTGTTTCTCAATGTCAAGGAAGGCTGCTCCAGAGCCACTATTTCAAGCATACTACGTCATCGAGTCCCGCCGAAGGACTGTTCTAATGTCCAGGATGCTTGGAATTCTACCGAGGCCGGCGCCCTTCGTTGCGGGAAATTTCTAGGCTGCACATGTGTATCCTCCGCGGTCTTAAAATCCCCACAATGCTTTGCGCACGGACCAATTTCCAAAATCTTTGGCGGAAAATGTAAGGCGGGGCCTCTCATATGACGCACACCTGCACACTTGCTAGCCTGTTCTATTCTTCGTTTTCCGAGGCTTCTTAAGGAACTCACTCGGAGGTACATGTGCTACCAAGCAAGCGTCCTCGACATTGAGAAACACCCACAGTTTCCTCTTCATGTCATCAGTGAGCATTACATCCCAACCCTCTGCACACGTCACTCTGCAGGGCAAAGACGTCTGCAAACGTGGACTAAAAACATCACGTCTGTGAATCAAGCAACTGAAGTGCATCCTCAGTGTTTATTTCAGACACAAAGGAAACTCAAAGAAAGCTTGAACACACACAAAAACACAGAAAATGAAGTTTAAAGAAGCCCTATTCTTCTGTTGTGTGGCGTTCCCTCTCTTGTAGTGTGTTCTAAAGGTGTTAGTTAGTGCATGTAAACGGTCTGCAAGGCCTAAAATCCAAAAGTTCTGTAACAGAGTGGCGCTCCTATTGGCTAACGCTCCTTTGTACGTGATCCATTGGACATCTCTAAGCAGTGGACCAATCACAACAGAGCCGGCCAGCTAACCAATCAGAGCAGACTGGGCTCTGGTTTCAGACAGAGGGTGGCCCAATCCCAAACCGCCCCCTACACCCTACCCCTACACACTACCCCTCCGTTTGCGCGTTCGCGCGGAGGGTCCGCCACATTAAGTGCTGTTCCAAACCAACGAGTGTGGAGCGGTGTGGAGGGGGAGTGGGCTATCAAGCCCTCAAACAGCGAGTCTGCATCGGTGCTGACTTGAGACCGGTCTCTACCTGACCGGAGTCACGCTGTGTGTGTCCGTCAGGAAACACGCTGTTTACAAGTAGTTCCAGCAAACATCCACTGATAAATTGCGATGTTAACAACCTCATGATAACCTCATATTTTTTTAACTTAGGATCATACCTGTGGTTAGTCTAGAAAAAGGTCAATGTGTGCATTTTATTATAAAGTTGTGTATATTTACAGACTGTTGCAAAAACTAAGAAGCTTATAAACATCAGGTTTAAAACTAAAAGAGCTTTACAAAAAAGTAACACAATGAAAGATGTTTGGAGTTTTATTTGAGTTCTTAATTTACATTTTTTGTCTAAGAGAAGCTGATTTGAAACCGTTGTTACATACAGTTACGGCATTTCCTGTTTCTGCCGGAGAGAGGGGAGTTTGTCCCAAAGCTTGCCGCTGTATTT